ACGCATCGCCCTCACAAATACTGAGATACAGCCACATGATTGCTTTTTACGGCCACATTATCGGAACGTTTGTTTCCTCAGTTAGAATGAGGGGAGTGCTCCCCAAGCACCAGCAGCAGACACTCCTTTTCCTTTCCGAGTTTGACGTTTGAGTTTGTGCGCAGTGCGCCCCCAAGGCTGGTGGCCATTTGTGGCCAATTCAATGATAGTTGATCTGAATTAGAACCTGTGAACCGTGGCTGCCGCATCCTGCACCTTCTGCAGCTGTTGTCGCCACATCTTGTCTCTGGGGAAGAGTCCACAATGGCACTCGAGGAGCCGTGTGACAACGCGAAGCAATGCTTCAGGCTCTGTCCGTCCGGTAGAGCCCCCCCACGTAGCAGAGAGTCCTGTATGCTCATCTGGGAAAAATCCTTGCCATGTGCGCGTTGTGGCGTGACATCCCAGGAAAACACCAGGCATGACGGAAGGGATGTCCGCTAACCCAAGTTCCTGCAACTTGCGATACGCTTCTCGATGATGGAACGATTTCACCCGCGAATGCTGGCCAGAAACTGTTGCTTGGACAACCTCCTCCTCAGAGGAGTCTGCCATAATTTCCTGAAGGTTATTCTGGAATTGCATCTCCTCTTCCAAATTGGCATGTTCCTCATCAATTTTCAAGGCCTCCTCATCATGTTCATTCTGGCTACCCGCACTAGCAGTGTCCTCAACATCTTCCTCCTCCTGCTGACCAAGCACTTGTTCGACTTGTTCTGCAGTAGGTCTCTGGTCTAAAATGTCTGGTACACCACTCTCTGCAGCTGCCTCTCCCTGCAAAAGCACCAACCGCTGCGAAGCCCCATTCGCAGCCCGCACCAGCAATCGCTCACGATCCTCGGAGAACTGTATGAGAATCGAGAACAGGTCCTGGCGCATTTTGTTTGCATCGGCATTGCTACGAATGGCGTGAATGACAGATTTCTTGGCCTTGGAAAAGAGGAGGTTACAGCTTCCACGGTCGGTGCACCACTTCTCGTAAGCGGTTTGCATGCTCGGTGCAAGAGGCTTTCCGAGTGCCATCCGTGCATCGATCTTGGCATTCCATGAATGGCTTTCTTCTACCCATCTGGAAATGGCCCGTTCAATAGGCTGAGAAAGCCATTGGGGAAGCACTCTCCTTGAGTCCACATTCGCACCATCTTGGATCGCCCAGAACACTGTCTTTTCACCAGGGAGTGGTGTGGTCCTCAAAGATGAAAGCTCTGCTTCCTCACCACGATTTGTCTCCATCTTCGGCAAATCGTCAAGTTGAAGAATTGCGTCCATGGAGCCCCTTGCACGCTGCATGAGCTCTTGCACTGGCTTCAGGTCACCTGAAAAAGTGATGGGCAGCGTGGCCAATCAAACACAAAGAATGCGCTTAAAACATGTACATCACACATACTGCTTATATAGCAACAATATGTACTGTTTAATGCCCACGGTCAAGTGCAACTAAAGTATAAACATCATTCAGAAAACCACAAAAATGAGGTGAAACCAATTGTTTGGCCTCCAAATCTCCATTTTGCTATGTCAGACTCATCAACGAAGCCACGCTTCATCCATGATAGCCAAACAAGCTTCCCGGACCTTCCAAACATATCTTTCCAAGAGCATGCCAAATTGTCAAATCAATGCGTGTCGTGTGAAGACACAACACTTGGAATGCCCCTTCAACAGAAAATAACAAAAACCCTGTTTGTGCCTTTTCTAAAAAACGGTGCTTGTTTCTAGAATATTCTAAGCACTCGAGTTTAGGTTGAGCGTCGCATCATTGAAATCTCTAGATTCTATATGCTTGAGGATGATTACATATATTATATATACCGATCAACAACTTTGGAGGTGGTCATTCTAACTGCCAGTTTGTTCAAGCCACTCGAAGTTGTGAAGCGCATCTAGGGCATATGCGTCCGCTCTCAGGGCTGTAAGTGCTGATGTCCTTGGCTTACAAAAATTGCCCATTGGTCTGAGATTCTTGCATTCAATGCATTCAACAGACCCCTTCCACCCCGCATTGGCCCATCCACCAAAAAACAAAGCTTATTCACTGCTAGATTCCAAGCTGCTTGGTGGAAATTGACCCCTGTGGAGACACATTGAGATCACTCAGCTGCTTCCTGAGACCCAAAGAAGTGCCCCATCCAACTGCTAAGCTGTGGTAAGATTGCGTTAGCTTATGCAGGAACTGGTGCCATCCGTCGTTGGGGCCGCCTGCGGCTCCCCAGCCTCCCGGAATCTCCAGGAGTTCACTATCACCACAAATGATGACCTGGGCATCCACATTTGATCCCGTCTGGCCACGAAAAGCAAACATTGACACAGCTGTATAATGAAAAGACTATATATATAGGGAAAAATACCGTTATGAAAACTAGGCACTGCATTGTGCTGGTCCATCCAAGCTTGCTTCAAGGCTGCAAACTTTTTGGCAGAATGCTGAGGAGCCATGTCACATACTATCATAGCCTTTGCTGAAAGGTCCAAATTCAAAGCGCGGCGACGTGCTCGAAGTTCTTCGGCCATGAACTCCAGAAATGTGAGCATGGTCGTGCTTGTCCACATGTGTGTCTTCGACTGCAAAGGAGCAATGAACAGCCATTTTCCAAGCTCCTGAGAAGAAAAGGCTAATATTGCAAGAAAAAAATAGCTGGACAACATGGCCCAATCACAGTCATTCTAGTCATTCTAACTGCGGACCACATGGCCATGTCAGAACACTGTGCCTGAATGTGGAAGAGGTGTGAACATAATTGAAATTAATTGAATAAATATATATATATATATATCACCTTTCTCTCTCAACTTTCGTCATTCTTTCCCTGCCTGGTTTGCCCGATCACGGTCCCTCTCACTCAAATGGTCTGATTTGACGGTGACAAAGCCTCTTCCAATCGATCCGTCAGCCCAGGACAACGTTGTGAGGGTTCTCGGAACCCGATAGGAATCTATCGGTGAGCAGGCGGCGGGGCCGCCCTGAACACGGGTAATTCCATCAGATTGCTGGGCCTCGAAGGTTTCTGTGAACGGAAGATCCATCA